TGTCCACTGCAAAGCAGTGAGGATACAACCCAATCACAGTTACTTCCACCTGCCAGGGCTGACTGATGTCATCTTTGTGCTTATGGAGGGGGGTTGGAGTTGATAAGGCATACCCTCAAAGGCCCCTTCTCCTGAAAGACAAGGTGGTTCTCCCCAGGCCTGCATCTAGCACATCCATCTCCAGATGAAGCAAGCAGACTGTGCCTTGACTGACAGCTCAGCCTGAGGCCCACTAATGCCCTGCACCAACTCAGTAAGGGTGTTCAGGAAAAACACCTAGGAGAGAAAGCCAAGCCCCAGCTTCAGGGAACCCTATTCTGAGCCCAGCATAACCTGGGTACCACTGTAGACAAGGCATCTCCTGAGAGCTGGTGTTTTACTAACACAACAGAACTTGGACTGGGCATAGTGCCCGCTACATGCCCATAATCCCAGTGACTTGGTATGCTAAGGCAAAAGGATCTCAAGTTTGAAGCCAATCTTAGCAACTTAGAAAGATCCTTAGCAACTTAGCGAAACCCTGTCTCAAAATAAATAATAAAAAGGGCTGGGGATGTAATTTAGTGGTAAAGCCTACTAAATTCCCAGTCCCAAAAACAAAACAAAAAAAGAACTTGGGTTCTAGTCATAGACACGATTTCCATGCTGGAGTCAAAATCACTGTAGTCCTGAAGAACATGCTGTAAGGATGATCACTACTTCCAGCCAGGGAAAACGGTCTGCTTATTCCACCACTGAGACCTTTAGCTCCCACAAAAACCGGCTTTGGCTTCCTGCTGAGAGGCTGCCTCTCTAAGCAGGACCCAGGGCCTCAGGCCAGGCACGGACCTTACCTACATATACAGTGCCTGAATACCTGACTGGTTCTGTATATTCCCCTTCTAGACAGACCCCACTGATTTAGGGAAGGGAGCAAGTTACAGCCCCGTGTTCCTGAATGTTCTCCTCTGCTGGAGACATGGCCCAAGTGGGCTAGTTCCCAAATAGAACTGATAGTAGCCCACCTGCCAGTCCCTCAAGGCCTGCTCTTCTCCCCAGTGGTGCCACCACCAAGTCCCTGCTGGGTATCTAGCACTCAGATCTAGTGGCCAACAATTATGTTGGCAAGGATAGGCCAGCTAAGACAATAGGAGTGATCTCATGAAGACCTAGACATGGTTGGTTTTCTTCCTTGGTGGGGTCTGGAATCTTCTTGGCTGGAGCATGTGAAAGGTGATGGGCTGGTCAGCTTCAGTATGAGAAGGCAACCTGCAGTTTTGGGTGCTGAGCAGGTGTTGAGGGCACAAGTCACAGATTGAGGTTGGAGGAAATGCCAGAGTGAAGGGCTGCTGGGCTGCAGGAGTAGGCACGGGGGTGTCTCTCCTTGAATAGGAGACTCAAGCTGAGGCTGAGGACATCTGTCTCTTCAGAAGCAGGTTAGAAAAGCTTGTAAGATGGCAGGAAGGAAGCCTGACTGAGGGGGATTTTTAGCAGCCTGTTTGCCAGGCATTTACAGGCAGAGGTAGGAACCCAGCCAGCAATGGGCCACCAGCTTTACTGTATCTAGAAAACACAGGGGAAAAAAAAATAGTGCTCTACAGGAAGCATGACCATTCCCATGTGCTACAGCTAGCTGCAGCTCACCCCTGCCAAGATGCCCAGTCCACCAGAGGCCATTGCCTGCCCCATCAGAGAGGGACAACACTCATGTAGGGTAGGATCAGGGGCCAATCCCCTTGGGCCTCGGGGATGGAGATTATGTCCAGGCAGTTTGTGGGAACACAATCTGACTTAAAAGAGGGGTCCCTAACCACAAGTGTTGAAACATTATGACAGAGACTTGCATATCCTATGGTAGAAGCCACCTCAGGTGGCAGGAGTCCCCCATCATACTCCTGGGGTAGTGTGGCCAGCTGTGTGCCTCATGGACTCCTAAGTACCCACATCTGATACAATGCTGGCTGTGCACATGCTCACACATTTCACAGCAATAGGTCTACCACACCGACAGATATGCAAATAAAGGTGAAAATCAGTCTCCCTGGGCACTGTAAATGGGCACTTCCTTCACTGAGGAATCCCTACATGCATTGCATGTGACAAAGGAGACATCTTTGTAGCTCACACATACTACCCCTCAGCCTCCAAGATGCAAGATACCACTCTGGCAAGGTGTCTCCACTGTGCATCCATGATACAGTAGGCTCTCAAGCACCCAGTCACACTTCCACTGTCCACCTGCCCTCACAGGGCTAGGGCTGCTCCAAAGGCCTAGGACTGGGCAGCATAAAGACACAGAGAAATAGGGACAGAATGGGGGTGGTGGGTCCAGACATCATTTTTCACCCATCTAGTGGCCCAGTCACTAAGAAGGACATAAGAATCTGGCAAATATATGCTCACTTACCACCACTGGACCCAGTCCTGTGCAGTGAGACCCCTGAGACCAGGAGGGAAGAATTCAGCTGCTGAGGAAACCTTGAAGGCCAGGGCTCTTCCTCCACTGGCCACCCACAGTGTCTCCAAGCAGTGTTGTATGGCCCCTCTACAGAGGTCACTGTGGCCCAGAATTAAAACTATGAGAACTCAGAGCTCCTACTGTCCTGTCTGAGCTTGGTCAGGCTGCTGATAGGCATTACTGGAGCAGGGTGAGGGGCACATTAACACCCATGATACCCTATTGTGTTTTTAAAATTAGCCAAAACAATCTGGAAAACAAAGGGTAGTGATGGATATTTCGCTACCAGAAAAATCAACACTACTTATAAAGTCAAAATACCTAATATGGGATAGACCAGACCAGAGTTCTATTGATTTGTAAGGCTAGGATGGCACTGAGTGGTTGATGGCCCGGGTAGGTCCATGCCTTGTGGAAAAAAGAGAAATGAGATCCTCTACTACTTGAGATATAACAGGTTATGCTCTGGAAAACACAAGCCCCCAACCTAGCAGCTTAACACATCAAAAATTTATTTCTTGCTCATATTACATATCCATTGAAGTTGGCAGAGAGGCTCTGCCCATCACAGGCCCTTGATGAAGATAACAGACTCTCCTTCCACCAGTCACACTGACAAATAGACTCCAAGTTTGGTGTAAAAGACAACACATTAGATGATGTCTTTGAACTCCCATGAAGGAAAAAATTTCTTAAATTTAAGTAATAAAAAGAACGCCACAGACATAACAGCTGAGCATTGCTATTCAAGGGCAGAAGAGACTCAGCAATCCCATGCCTCAGCACAGGCACCAGAGTCTGAAGAAACCTTGCACAGAGCCACAGAGGGCTCTCATAGTAGCAGTCCAAAATTGTGAAAATGAAAAACAAAACCAAAGAACATTGTTATTAGCTGAATTGTGTCCCCCTAAATTCTTATGTTAAAGTCCGAACACTCATTTCATCAGAACATGACTCTATGGAATGATCCTGGAAGGCAGGATCAGCACCTAGGTCCATCCCTGAGTATGTCTAGCAAACCCTACCAGGCTTTGCAATTTCCAGAGAACTCTCCTCTGGGTCATCTGCCCTGTATGCAGGTGGCAGCAGGAACAAATGACCCAAGGCCTCCTTACATGCGCCATGCATGATGCATAGCCTTCTCTCCTAGCCTTTGGTTGCCTTCTTTCCCAAGGAGTGGTAAAGCAGCTCAGTAACTGCCTCTCACCAGCAGGTACAGCTGCTTCTGGTAACAAAGTCACTTTACAACACTGTATACACCACCTGTGTAGGACAGGCTATAGCCCCCCAATTCTTTCCTCCATACCACTGCACAGGAACTCAGAAATGGACAGTCTGGCTCCTGCTGCTGCAATGCCCCCACTCCTTTCCTTTTAGAGAAGAACCCAATCACAATGAATAGGACCCATTTCCCAAATTAATAACAGGTCATATGGACTCTTTCTAAACACTTGTCTTCCCTGCCTATTGATAGAGATGCCACAGTTAACACTTAGAGGTATGGTGGACTATAAGTTACCCTGGCAGAACAGGGGAAAGCAGGAAAGATAGGAACTTTAAGCTAAAGGTGCATCAAATGGAAGGCAGTTGTACAGAAGTCAGCAAAATGGTTAGAGGTCAGCTGGATGACTGAGCTGACCATTCAAGTACCTCCAAGTTCTACAGATATGGGCAGGCCAGGCCACAGCTGGCTGGAGAGGTATAAGAGAACAGTCTGTCCTGGCCCTGAGCAATCATATGGTGGGACAGCTGTGTGACCCTGAACAGGACAAGGATTGGGCCAGGATGTCTAGAGATTTCTAAATCTGAATCAAGAATGCATATCAGTTTCTTCTGTCAGGTTGCTTGTTTTCCTTCAGGTTCCTAAAAATAGCTTTTCACCTATTCCAAGATTTCCTGCTGTACCTTGAAATAATACACATAAAACCACCTGAACCCAGAGCCTTTTAAAAGTAAGTTACGAAATAAAATAATACCAACATCTATTTTTCTGAAAATATCTTACCAGATGTTTGCTTATTACCATTTTTTCCTAAAAAAAAAAAAAAAAAAAAGTTGTTTTCAATTTGTCTTTTTTCATCCTACTTTCCTACTTTTCAGGAAGATGTCCTGATTTTTTTTTCCCCAACAAAGGTAAAAACAGAAGAGTTTTGAGATTTTGTGCAAGCACCTGAGTAGATACACACTGTACACTGGGATGACTGAGCCCCCATCCTCAGGTAACCTTTACTTAAGGAAGCTTCCACACTCAGCTCTCATTAGAAACCATCCTGTGCAAAACAGGATTTTCTTCATTCCAATCTCTGGCCGAGGGACACCAAATTCTTAATCTCATGCCTGCTCCTCACTTTACCTACAGCTCTCAGAAGTCAGTTCTCAAGGCCACCCTTCATCTGCCAAGCCTCCCAACCCCACCCATTAGGCCCCAACTCCTCCCACCAGATCCCTCAATCCTGAGGTATTTTGTGGGAACCACACCTGTGACACTGACCTGGAATGCTTACAGCTGGGCCTCTGTTGACAAAACAAAGACTCTATTCAGCAGCAACCACCACATCACACATTTAGCAATGGATCCAACACACGTTTAATGAGCACCAATTTTGTACCAGGGACACAAAGCTAAGACTAACGTCCCTGCCCTAGAGGCTCACAGTCTGCTGGGGGATACAAGTTATTTACATCACTGGGGTTTTAAATGCTGAATCAGCAATATGCAAGAGTACATGGGGGGAGAGCACGGACTACTTTAGAAAAAGGGGAAGGAGCAATAAAGAGTGAAATTATTATTTGCAGGAAAATTGATAGAACTTGAGAATATTATGTTAAGTGAAATATGCTGAACTCAAGAAAATCAAGGGTTGTATATTTTCTCCAATGTAGAAATTAGAAAAAAGTAAAGGTCGTAGTGGTAAGGAGGGAAAAAAATCTCATGAAAACAGGACAGCAGAGAAAGACCAGGGGAGGGAAGATGGGAAAGGGGAGGTGCTGGGGAACAAAACTGACTAAATTATAGTTATATTGTATAAATGTATGAATGTATCAAAAAAATCCCACTATTACCTATAATTATAATGCACTAATTTTAAAAAATAAAAGAAAAAGTGGGGGCAGCCAGGCATAGTGGCACATGCCTATAGTAGCCACTTGGGAGGTTGAGACAGATTGCTTAAGTCCAAGAGTTTGAAGACAGCTTGGGCAATACAGCAAGAAACCAAGTACAAAAAAAAAAAAAAAAAGAGGGAAAGGAGCAGCACAGAAACATTAAAATCTGTACCAATTTCTTAAGAAAACTGGTGTGGTCATTATATTACCATATAGAAAGGATAATGCCTGGCAATGGGGCTTGGGCCCCACCTTCCTGCATCTAAAACTCCAGCTGGCTTGGGCTTCTGGTAAACCCACAAGGAAGCCAAGATGCCATCTTACTCATTCAGATGCATTGATTGCTGCTTCCCCACTATTCACAAAGGCCAATGTATGGAATCAATGGAGTGTCTACTGATAGATGAATGAATAAAGCAAATGTGGTACATTTACATAATGGAATATTATTCAGCCATAAAAAGAATGAAATATGGCAACACAGATAGAAGTAGAAAACATTCAGTGAAATAAACCAGGTACAGAGAGACAAATACCCTACGTTGTCATATGTGGAAGTTTAAAAGTTGATTTCACAGAATTACAGAGTAGAACAGCCTTCACTAGAAGATATCAAGGATGGAGGCAGGAAAGACAGATGAAGGTTAGATAACAAGTACCAAAATACAAAATTGTTCTAGTTTCTATGACACAGCAGGGTGACTACAGTTTATAACAATATATCATATAAAGAACTAGAAGAGAGGAGTTCAAAGGTTCACAACACAAAGAAATGATAAACATTTAAGCAGATGGAAATGCCAATCATCCTGATCATTACACATTTATACATGTGTACCAAATTATCATACTATATTCCATGTACTTATGCACAATTTAGAAAAATATTTTTAAAAAGTGGCCATCTCCTCCACACAGCCTTTCTTACATTCCAACCTGGAGGTCACAGGTCACAGAGAACCTGAATTTGGGGGGCAGGAGACAGAAGCACAGACACTATGTAGGGACCATGTCCAACTAGGACAGGCAGGGCCAAACAAATCCAGTTCCAATCACTGTTGAAAAATGCCAAGGGTAGTGTTTTGTGAGAGTTAACAGGTGTAAATATCTGATGGGGCTGATTCTCAGAACTATCCAACTAGCAGGAACAGGCCCAGTAAGATAGTACTCCCATGCAAAGGGTGAGAACACAGCTGGAAACCCAGCAGGAGCAGAGAACAAGTGCACAGGGCAAAGGCCCTTGTTCTGCTTGGGACAGGGGGTATTGCTTGTGCTCCAACAAGGAACAAAGAAGTCCAAAATGGATGCATCTATTAGCCCAGCTATGAAGTTGTCTGGAGTCATCTGGGGACACCACTCTGTCCTGACTGGGGGCTATGGGGTTCCTTAGCAACACCAGCCACTTGATCACAAAGTGCACTATTGCTTCTACCTGGGCCATGTTCAGAGCCCATGGATGTGTGCTGGCAATCAGGAGAAAATGGAGGCTCTTCTGGGGTCTCAACTACCTGCTGTGAGGCACCTAAGGATACATCCTGGACTCCCCCAGTCTCAGAAACTTCCTCCTCTGTTTTCTGGGTTTTTGAACCCTCTGAGTAAGGTAGGTCTGTCATCTGGGCAGAGAGGTTAGGAGATTTTGAAAGTCTAGGGACAGGTTTGGTCCCTGCCTCCTCTGGCTGGAAGGGAACTAGCCCAACAGGACCAGGATCATGGCTACAAGCAGAACTGGACAGAACAGGAACCACCTGTGGCCCAGGCGTGCTCTCCTTGGCCAGAACATTTCTGGATGTAGAACAGGACCTAGACACAGCAGGGGTGGCCACAGCAGCTGAGACAGGCCTCGGGGGAGCACCCATGTTGAGTGCCAGGGCCTCTGAGAACCTAGCTAAATACTCTCTCACCACAGGCAGCTGCGGGGCCACTGGTGGCTGGCTCGAGGCTGGAGGCAAGGGGCAGGGCACTGCGGCATGGTACTCAGCAAAATTGTTTGGGTCTTGAATAACTTCCTCAAGATCCTGGCAGAACAGCTCATAATCATCAGGCAAGGGAAGGTCCCCATCAAGGTAAGGGGCTGCCCAGGCCCGGGCTCGTCCAGTCAGGCGTCCAAGAATCTCACAGACACGGCTTAGGTTGTCTTGGTAATGTTCAAAGCGGAAAGACATGTAATCACCTAGCTGGGCCAAAAAGCGATCCAGCAGCCACGGAGAGCCGTCAAAGGTACCTGGATCTGAGCCAGGCACCCAGTGGAAGTCCATCCTGAGGGGCCGGGGGCCGAGCATTCGCACAGCCGGAAGGCCCCTTTCTGTGGGCTTACCACCAACAGAATCACTAGCTGTGCTCTTCTGTTCCATGGTTGTGCGTACACACACAGGGTCCCCACAGCAGGGCCGCTCAATCCAGGGATCCACAAGGGGAGTATATGCCACCCCAGGAGAGGCCTGGTCCATCTGCTGCCAAGGGTGTGCATTGGCGTAATTGGCAGCTGCCCGGATGGGAATGCGAGGGCCCTGACGACGGCGACGACCCCGAGGCATACTGGAAGCAGAGGGAAGAAAGGAGGAAGAGCCAACGCAGGGAGGTTGTGGACCCAGGCAGCACAACAGGATAGGGATCAGCTGGACAGGATGTGGCAGACCCAGCAGTTCCAGGCAAATGCTGAGGACCAGGGGAGCTGTCAACTGCGACCTTAGGAGAGCAAGGTGAGCCGAGGGGACTGTCAGACGCAGGCCATCATCCAAGGCAATCTGTCCAAAAACAAGGTGGGGAAGAGCAGGAACTAGGCCCAACTGTCACAGGCTGGCAGGAGAAGGCAACAAGCAAGCAAACCCTTGGTGCCCCACTAGGAGCTCTAGAGTGGAAGGAAGGGCCCAAGGGTTGGCCTGGAATGTCCAAGAAGGCAGGAAAATGTCACCTGTGACTTTCAAGGCAAAGGAGTAATGACAGATGCTGTCAATCTCAGGAGAATAAATGAGGTCAGATCAGAATTGTTCGGGAACTTCAGGACAATGACAATAACAACCTTTAAAAAGAGTCCTCCATTTGTGCCAAACACTGATCCCTCCTTGACTGCTGTCAGCATGAGGTTGGTACTATTATTGTCACTGAGGCAAAGTGGCAAAGTGACTTGTCCTGCAGCTACACACCAACTCCTAAGTAACAAGAAGACAGTGGAGAGGGTTGTAGAAGCCACAGGCCTAACACAACATTATATAGGTTATAGACTATGCTTCAGTCTGTTAAGTAGGTTCCTGGCTGCCACAAACACTATAAACCACTAAGTACACACAGTCTGTCATAAGGTTCTTGAACATCCAGCATCAGGCACATCCAACAAAAGCAGGGTCCTCAGCTGTCACTTGCTCCCTCCTGCCCTGTCCTCTCTCATGCTTTCTGCTGAGTGTCATCTGCAGGCAATGCCACCCCCACCCCAAACACATCTCCCTACATTTGCCATCCCAGGCTACAGTCAGCACCTGCAAAACCCTGGAATCCCTCTTGCTATATCTGCTCCTACCATCCCAATCCACCATGCCAAGAGCCTGGAGAGACGCTCAAAGATGGCCAAACTGGCCCCCCTCCAAGCAGAAATCACCAAGGAGACCAAACTCTAGGCAACTCAGTTCTCTTTTAGGGCAGGGAATCCTCTGGACCTCTCACTCTGTCCCAGCTCCCTCCCCAGTCTCTAGAAATAGAGACCCACTCACAACCTCCACAAAATTCTCTCTGCTTCATCCCTGCATACATATCCCAATCCTCCACCAGCTCACACCTAGGAGCACCATGGACTACACCCACCTTTATGTCCAGTTTCCCATTTTACTATCTCAGTTCCCCCATGGAGGTACAGCTATGTTGGTCTTTCTAACCAGTACCTCCCAGGTGGCCTGCAACACTCAAAAGCTGACTGAACTACCAGCACCTACATCTGCCACCCAAGCTTTCTGGAATGACCCAGATATACCCCCCATTTCACCTTGAAAGCCCAGCCATTGACCCTGGCTTCTCACCCTACTACAGAAAAAAATATACTGTGGCCTGCAGCAGCAGTACCCCACAAGACAGCTTATGAAAGGAGTCCATTCATGAATCCAGTTCAGTTTTTCACTGAGTTCTAAAACGGCAGTGTCTATGATTCAGGCCCCAGTGCCGGCCATCTACTTAAGACTAGGTGTCAGGACCCCCCCCCCCCCAAATCACATCCCATGTTATGAACCCTTAGTACTACCTAGACCTCTATCAGCCCTTCTTCCCTGTCTTCAACTCCTACCTGCACTAGGAAACTTAGCTGCCACCCTGCCCACTCACCTGCATACTCGTGTGCCCCTTGCAGTCTCCAGGAGACAGATCCCCTGTACTAGCCAGCCAGCACTGCTTTGCTTTAAGCATTCCTAACACCGGATCAGACTCTCATCATTTTGTGAACCTTGGCCGTCCCATTCCCACCTCACTTATCAGTATGTTGTTCGCTCTTGCTCCTCTCCTCAGCCTGCCAGTGTCCTTCTCCTGAACAGTCAGCGCGCTACTACAAAAGCAGGAACCGCGGCGCGCGTGTATTTGCCTCCGCAAAGCCAAAGGCAGCGCCTGGAACGCTGGAACCTTCTTCACTCCTTAGAAACCTAGGGGTCCCGGGGGGGAAAGAACCCGCCCAAAGCCGAAGGCAAACAACTGCACCGCTCGCCCGCCCGCCCTCCCCTAAGCACCCGCCATGCAAGAAATATGAGCTCACAAGCCCCACAGCAATAAAGCCTACCTACCTGCAAATACGCTAGGTGCCCGCAGAGAGGGTCCAGAGATCCGAAACTGGAGACCGTAGGGACTGGCTTTTTTCTGAAAGCGAATATCCACGCGGCCCCTAGAAAAAAGATAACGAGATGAGCCTGAGTCAGGCAAAGCGGGAGCGGCGTCCTGAGACGGCGGGAACAGCCCCCAAATCTCCAAGGGCTCCCCAATCCCCGCCGCAGACCGAGAAACTTGAGCCCCGCCGGCCAGAAGCGCACCAGAACCCTGGCCCGAGTCTCCGAGCGCTCCTCCGTGGAACGGGAGTCAGGAAAGAACAAAGGGTCACTGCGTTGGGCCTGCACACTGGGTTGCCTCGCCGGCCTCCCGAGCTCGCGCTGCAACACTGACCCTTCAGACGAAGTCCTGGACGCCCCTTCTAGAAGCAAGCGACCCAAAAGAAAACCGCGTCGCGTAGCCACGCCCCCAGCGTGCGCGCGGTAGCCCCATACGTCCCTGCTCAGGCTCGCGTGACAGCCCAAGCCAGCCGCCCAGTCGGGCCGCGCGCGCGCCCTCAGCCCGCCGCGCTTGCGCCTTGTGCCTTGGGGTCTCTGCTGCGCAGGCGCTTCTGGGACTTGCCAGCGCGGCAGTGAAGCGCAGGGGGTGATGGGAGCGCGCTCTGTACTACGCCGCGCCTAGTGCCACGAGTGCAGGCAGGGCCGCTTGCGCAGGCGCAGATCGGGTGGGCTGTATTTGTCCCTGGCCGTAATCCCCTCCGATACTCCTGCAGCTAAGATCTAGAGGCCGACCAGTATCGACCAGGCCGATACTGAATCTGCTGGACACTGGGTGTCAGTAGGACTGCCCGGGAGCCAGGATGCTCCTGGCGGGGGTGAGGGTATCACGGAGAGTTTGGGTATAAAGGAGCTGTTGAGCCTATACCTAAGAGCTTTCCGAGAATAGCAGGCTTACAGAGTTCACTATTCACAGCCCAAAGCCGGTGCTCGAAACTTAGTTGGGACCTGTATCTACATACTTCCAGCCCAGGTGTGAGAGGGAGAGCAGGCTGCGGCAAGGACTGGCCACCTGAATGCCTAGGGTCTTAAGGCAGGGGCTGTCATGGGTGGGTGGGTGCTACCCTACCCCGGCTGAGGCTGGACCCAGAGAAGATTGGGCAGGCTGTAAAGGCCTTGCTACAGGGCCATAACCAGACCAAGCGTGCCACCCAGCATTGGTGACCCCAGTCAGCACCCAGACGCTCTGGGAGCCAGGAAGAGATGAGATCGTGTTCTCCTCACTTGCCTGTACACAGGCTGTCCAACACTACTTCCCCGCAACTTCGCGGTACCTAGAGAAGGGTTGGGAGAGGGTACCAACACCCAGCCCAGTACCAAATGACCATGGGCCACGGATCTGGGTGCGGGCCGGGGCGGGCGGGCCGTTGGGTTCGGGGCAGGTGATTTGCTGAAAAACGAAGCTTCTAAAGGCAAACACACAACATATCTGTTCCCTTTTGGCCCTGGTCTGGTGACTCCTTTCATGAAAGATCTCTGAAATGTTATCTGCATTTATACCCAAACTCACTCCCTTTGATCCTTGAAACGCGAATCAAAGATCACATTGTACCTTCTCTGGTTCTGTCGGGGCTTTCAGTCGCCTGGGCCAAAAATAATAAAAGTGGCACCCAGCCAGGAAACGCCTTCTTGAAGTGTGAATGAAACTTGGATTTTTCGGTTGTATCTTTCCTAATTGACCTGATAATTTAAACTTCCTCCCTGGAGGGAGAAGGGGAGTTCCTGTGAATTCAGCTTACCTCAAGCTCCAGGCAGCTCCAGGCAGCTCAGGCCAACTCAGGGCCTACAGCAGAGTGGGCAGCAGGCTTGTGCAAAACACTAATCAAAGAAGGCCAAAAACAAACAAACAAAAAATCCTTTTTTTGGTTCAGATTGCTTTTTTGTTGTTGTTTTAGGCCATCCTCCAGTGTGTGTATGTGTGTGTGTGTGTGTGTGTATTGTACTAAGATATACAAAACAAAATTTACCATCTTAACCATTGTTAGGTATGCAATTCAGTAGCATTAAGTACACGGCTACCATTCCCAGACCTTTCTCATTACCCCGGGAACTGTCTTAAAAACTAGCTCCTCATCCACCTCACCCCCAACCCCTTGCATCCACATTTTACATTCTATCTCTATGAATTTGACTACTCTAGGTACCTCACATATGTGGGCTCAAAATATTTGTGGCTCTCATATTTCACTTAGTATAATGTTTCCAGGGTGCACTCATGTTGTAACATGTGTTGGAATTTTACTTTTTAAAAGCTATTGTGTATATATACATTTTGTTTATTTATTCATCTCTCCATGGACACTTGGTATTGTTTCCATCTTTTGGCAATTGTGAATAATGCTGCTGTGAATATTGTACAAAATTCTGTTTTGAGTCCCTGGTTTCAATTCTTTTTAAGTATTTCCCCAAAGAGTGGAATTGCCAGATCATATGGTAATTCTGTTATCACTTTTTCCCCTTTTCTTATTTTATTTATTTACTTTTATTGGTTCTTTTTAATTATACATGACAGTGGAATCCATTTTAACATAATTATACAATATATGTAATATTGTATAATATATCTTGTTGTAATTCAGATCCCAGTACCTCTCCCTCCCCTTCCCTCTCCCCGCTCTCTTCTTGCTCCCTTCCCTATATTGATCTTTCTGCCATTTACCCATAGTTATATTTTTAAATTAATTTCCTATGGATATACACAATGGTAAGATCAACTGTGGCATATTCATATATGTACATAGGATCTATATCACTCTTTGAGGAACCACCAAAATGTTTTCCATAGTGGTTGCATCATTTTACATTCCCACCAACAATGCACAAGGGTTCCAGTTTCTCCACATTCTCCCCAACACTTGGTTATTTTCTGGGTTTTTCAACAATAGCCATACTGATGGATATTATGTGGTATCTCATAGTGGTTTTAATTTGCATTTCCCTAAATGACTAGTGATAGTCATTAGTGATAGTCAAATGTTATTGTCCATTTGTATGTCTTCACTGGAGAAAAGTCTATTTAAGTCATTCCTATTTTTAGTTGAGCTTTTGTTTATTTTTAAATTGTAAAAGTTTTTTTAGATATTCTAGAGATTCATATGCATATAGATATACATATAAACATAGATATATATTTTGCTAATATTTCTCCCATTCCATAGATTGCCTTTCATCCTATTGATAGTTTCCTTTGATACACAGAATTTTAAAAATTTTACAAAGTCAAATTTGTCTACATGCTGTTTTAGTTGCTATACTTTTGATGTTACAGCCTAGAAATCACTGCCAAATCCAATATTGTGAAGATTTTGCCCTATGAATTTCTTCTAAGAGTTTTATAGTTTTAGGTTTTACATTTATGTCTCTGATCCATTTTGAATTAATTTTTGTGTATTCTGTTTGGTAAGGATCTGGCTTTGTTCTTTTGCATGTGAACATTCAATTCTTCCAGCACCATTTGTTATAAAGACTGTCCTTTCCCCATTGAATGATTTTGGTACCCTTGTCAAAAATCATACATGGGGCTGGGGCTAGGGCTCAGCTGTAGCATACTTCCTTGGCATGTGTGAGGCATTGGGTTCGATTCTCAGCATCACATATAAAAAAATAAGAATCTATCAACAGGGCTGGGGATGTGGCTCAAGCGGTAGCGCGCTCGCCTGGCATGCGTGCGGCCCGGGTTCGATCCTCAGCACCACATACAAACAAAGATGTTGTGTCATACAAAGATGTTGTGTCTGCCGATAACTAAAAAAATAAATAAATATTTTTAAAAAAGAATCTATCAACAAAAAATAATAATTTAAATAAGTCTTTTTTTAAAAATCATATAAGCTAGGGCTGGGGTTGTAGCTCAGCGGTAAAGCGCTCAACCTAGCACGTGTGAGGCCTTGGATTAGATCCTCAGCACTACATAAAAATAAATAAATAAAGGTATTGTGTCCAACTACACCTAAATAATAAATTTTTTTAAAAAATAATATATGCTGGGCATGATAGCACACTCCTGTAATCTTAGCAGCTTGGGAAGCTGAGGCAGGAGGATCACAAGTTCAATGCCAGCCTCAGCAATTTAGAGAGGTTCTAAGCAACTTGGAGAGACCCTGCCTCAAAATAAAAAATAAAAAGGGATGGAGATGTGGCTCAGTGATTAAGTGCCCCTGGATTCAATCCCTGGTACCAAAAAAAAAAATTGTATGTGAGAGTTTATTTCTAGACTTTCTATTAGTTCCCATCAGTTTATGTGTCTTTTTATTTATTTTATTTTATTTTTTGTACTGGAGATTGAACTCAGGGGCCCTTTACCACTGAGCTACATGCCCAGCCCTTTGTTTATTCTGAGACACAGTCTTACTTAGTTGCCCAGGTTGATCTCTGGAGTAGCTGGAATGCACCACTATTTCTGGCTATACGTTTGTCTTTATGCCATTACCACAATGTTTTGATTACTGTAGCTTGGTAGTATGCTTTCAAAAAAGGAAGTATGAGACCTTTAAGTTTGTTCCTTTTTGAGATTGTTTTGACTATTAGGGGTCCCTTGAGATTCCATATGAATTTCAGGATAGGTTTTTCTATCTCTGCAAAATCACCATGGATATTTTAATAATAATTCGTTGAATCTTAGGTCACTTTGGATAGTATTGATATCTTAACAATGAGATGAGCTCAGTGGTAGAACACTTGCCTAGTATGCATGAGACCCTGTGTACGATGCTCTTCTAGCTCTGGGGGAATATTATTTTAGTCTTTTATTTTCAGGTTTTATTTTATGTCTTTTCCTTTTATTTAGGTTTTCTTTCTTCCTTCCTTCCTTCCTTCCTTCCTTCCTTCCTTCCTTCCTTTCTTTCTTTCAATACTGAGGGTTGAACCCAGGTGTGCTTACCACTGAACCACATCCCCAGCCCTTTTTTATATTTTATTTAGAGACAAGGTCTCACTGAGTTGCTAAGTGCCTTGCTAAGTCTGAGGCTGGCTTCAAACTCACTATCCTCCTGCCTCAGCCTCCCAAGCAGCTGGGATTTCAGATGTACACCACCATGCCTAGCTTATTTAGGTTTTCTTTTATTTCTTTTAGCAATTTAGGGGGTAGGGTGGTAGTGGGGATTTAACTCAGGGCAATTTACCACTGATCTACATTCCCCAGCTCTTTTTATGTTTTATTTTGAGACAGGGTCTTGCTAAATTGCTTAGGGCCTCGCTAAATTGCTGAGGCTGGCCTCAAACTTGTAATCTTCCTGCCTCAGCCTCCCAAGTCACTGGGATCACAGTGGGGCACCACCGCCCCAACTTAATAGTTTTAACAATGCTTTTGAGGAACTTCATGGTTTTCTAGGTAAGCTCATAACATCTATGAACAAAGATTTTTACTTCTTTCTTTCCATTTTGGAACTCCTTTTCTTGCATAATTATTCTGGCTACAACTTCCAGTACTGTTTTAGCTTCTATGACCAAAAGACCTAATGAGAACAATTTTAGAAGAGGAAGCTCATGGTTAAGGGGTTTCAGATGGCCCATATCTTTGCTCTGGGCCGCAGGTGAGGCAGAACATCTTGGCAGAAGAGTGTGGAGGAGAAAAACAGCTCAGACCATGACAATCAGAAAACAGAGTTCTGCTCACCAGGGACAAAATATAAACCCCAAAGGCACACCCCCAGACATCTACCTCCTCTAGGCACTCCCCACCTGCCTACATTTACCACTAAATAGATTATAGCTTTTTTAACCCAATCATTTCACCTCTAAACTTTCTTGCATTGTCTTATACATGAGCCTTTGGGAGGCTCTTCATATCTAAACCATATCAAGCACTATGTTGGAATAGATGTGGCAGAAATGTGCATCCTTGTTTTGTCCCCTGTCTTAAGGGAACAGATTTTAGACTTTCAGAATGAAATATGATGTTGACTGTGGGTTTTTTATGTATGAACTTTACTATTTTGAAGAAGCATCCTATTATTGAGTATCTTTGTCTTGAAAAAGTATTGAGTTTTGTCAAATGCTTTTTCTGTATTGAGATGATCACACATTTTTTTCCCTTTTGCTCTACTAATGTGATGCATATACTGACTTCAATACATATATTTCCAAATAATTTTAACTTTTCTATGGATTGGGTCCTTAACAGGGCCCAGGCTGCCTTTTCAACCAGAGTGGGGGAAGCAAACTTTGCTGAGAGCCCATCATATGATGAAAGAATTCCCAAGGATAATAAAGCAGGAATAAGCTCAATTCACAGATGGACAAGACTTACCCAAGGGAAATCCCCTTACTTGTATGGATGCATTTGAACTGCGAGGCCCAGAGAAAGTGGTCACCCAAAGGACATTGGATTGGACTTTGTCTCTCAGATGTTTCAGGTTAATGTGAGCCCTGTGCCTCCCTAGAGCCAGGGGTAACAAGAAGCAGGCATAGGCAGCACAGAAGGGTTGATATTCACTCTCCAACAACTATTAGCCTCTTAGCTGCCTGTGCTCTTTGTGCTTGGACTTGCATGAGAGTCATTCTTCAGAGCATCTGAGTCAGAATCAGGAGCAGCAGAGCTTTGCTATTTAGCCAGCCATTTTACTGTCTTGACAGAAATTTCCTTCAAAATTCAGAGCTGTATCCTTTGGTGCCTTTTCAGAGGTCTAATGGTCATTTTCCAGAAAGGTCTACCTTCTGTCCTGCTGATGAGTCTGTGACCTATGTGACTAGCATGGACACTTCAGAGACCCTTCCAATTTAGCCAGGAGGATGAGTCCCTGAGTGTGGTGCTCCAGGGCTCCTTGTACTTCAGCCTTTAGAAAGAGTAGAGCCTTTGTGGGTTTCCTTCCATTCTTTTTGTTGTTGAGGTTAGATTTACTATAATGAAATATACAGAACCTAATGTAGTTGCATCCCCATATCTGAAGTTTCTCTTTCTATGGTTTCAGTTACCTATGCTCAACCGTAGACTGAAAATACTATATTAAAAAATTCCATAAATAAACAATATAAGATTCTTAAATTACATAGCATTTTGAGTACCAGAAATATAGCACCGCCCCATTCTGTATCTCTCAGGATGAACCATCCCTTTGTACTTGTTCTCAAGTAATCCTTATTTTATTAATAATGGTCCCCAAACACAAAAATAGAGATACTGTCAATTTGGATATGCCAAAGAGAAGTTGTAAATTGCTTCCTTTGTTCCTTTTAGTGAAAAGTGAAATTTCTGAAAAAGAAAAAAAAAATGCCTGTTGATATTGCTAAGATCTATGATAAGAACAAATCTAAGCATGAAATTGTGAAGAAAGAAAAGTAACTTTGTGCTAGTTTTTACTGTTGTACCTAAAACTGAGACAGTTACAGCTACAGTGTGTGGTTAGTACTGAGTTAAGATGAAAAGAGGCTGATCACAGTGATGCATGCCTATAATCTAAGCAACTCAGGAGGCTGAGGCAAGAGGATCACAAGCTTAAGGCCAGCTTCTGCAATTTAGCAATACCTCATTTACTTAGTGAGACCCTATCTCAAAAATAAAAGGGGACTAGTGATGTACTCAGTAGTAAACTGCCCCTGGTTCAATCCCCAATTTTAAAAAAAGAAAAGACCATTACTTTGTGGGTGGAAGACATAAACAGAAAACCATTCATGGCAGAAAGCTTTGAACCTATAGGAAGTTTTCAACAAGAGATCCACTGAAAGGAGTGACACCAAATCATTTACATAACACCACTGTATATTGGTATAATTATTCTATTTTATTTTTAGCTATTTTTGATAATCTCTTACTGTGCCTAATTTAAAATTTAAACTTTATCAGAGGCACATAGGCACATACGCAAAGTATATATAGGATTTAGTAGTACCCAAGATTACCTGGAAGTCTTAGAATGTATCCTCTAAGAATGCATTGTACAGTCGCATGTATTTTGTACATGTAAACCACTGGCATATACAATTAAGCTATGAACATTCTATTCTACAGAGAGTGCCGGTATGCTCCATTCTTCACAGGCACTGTTCCAATTTCTACTCCATAGTTTCATTTCACTCATTCTGGAACTTCTAACAAACAGAACCCAACAGTATGGACTCTTTTGTGTCTGCCCTTGTTATGGTTTAGATGTGAGGTGTCCCCCAGAAGCTCACATGTGAGACAATATAAGAAGGTTCAGAGGAGAAATGATTGGGTTATAAGAGTCTTAACCCAATCAGTGAATTAATCCCCTGATAAGGATTAACGAAGTGGTAGGGTGTGGCTGGAGGAGGTGGGAATGGGGGCGTGGCGGTGGGGTATATATTCTGTATCTTGAGAGTGGAGACTCTTTCTGCTTTCTTATCACCATATGAGCTGCTTCCTTCTGCCACATTCTTCTTCCATGATGTTTTGCCTCACCTCAAGCCCCAAGTATTGGAGCCAGCCTTCTATGGACCAAGACCTCTGAAACTGTGAGCCGTCAAATAAACTTTTCCTCCTCTACAATTGTGCTGGTGGCGTCCTTTAGTCACAGCAGTGAAAAAGCTGACTAAAACAGGCCTTTTATGGTTAATATAACATTTGTAAGAATCATCCAAATTGTAGTTTAGTATGTCTCATTTGTTTTTATTGCTATATTGCATCTCATTTCATGTCTACACAGTTTTCATGTCCATTCTTTTATCCATGGACATTCTGTTTTTTCTGAATTTTTTTCTGGTTTTTTTTTTTTTTTTTTAAGAAAGCTGCTATGAGCATTTGTGCAAGTTCTTTTTATACACATAAGTTTCATTTCTTTTAGATAATATCTAGGAGTGGACTTGCTGGGTCATAAGATAGGTACATATATTTAACTTTATAACAAACTTCCAAGAATTTTCCAAAGTACTGAAACTTTTGTATTTCCTTCAGTAATATATCATGATTCTAGCTGCTCCACACCCTCCCCAACACTTGATATGATCAGCCTTTTAAATTTTAATCATTCTGACAGGAGAGGAGTAATATCCATTGTATTTTTGGTTTGCATTTCCTGATAACTAATAGTGCCCATGCTTTCACATGGTTGTTTGTCATATTTTATTAATTTGCAAGTTATTAAGTTATTACATACATTTTGAATAAGTCTTTGTCAGATACATTCATCAAAAATACCTTTTCCTACTGTCAATTGTGTTATTCATTTTCTCAATAGTGTCTTTTGAAGAGAAATTTTATGTCTGGTGTCTTGAGATTTTAATATTCAAAGAAACTTTTGCTTCCCCAGTGAAAGGAAGATTTTCTCCTATGTTTAATTTTAAAAGTTCTATTGATTTATCTCTTATATGCATATTTATGGTGTATTTTGAACTGATTTCTTTGTGTGACATAGGTCGAAGTTCATTTGTCTCCATGTGTACATCCTGCTGTTCTGGCACCATCTGTTAAAAAGTTGATTCTCTTCCTCCTGAATTACCTTGACACTTTGTTAAAATTTCAGTTCCATTGGGCTATGGGTGTAACTCAGTGGTAGAGCAAATTCTTAGCATGCTCAAGGCCCTGGGTTCGATCTCCAGCACGAGCAAAAGATAAAGAGTCCATGAATATAAATTCCTTAGGACTTTCCATGTACATGATCATGTCATCTATGATTAAAGATAATTATACTTTTAAAATATATATGTTCATATTCAGTTGTCCCTTGATATCCACAGGGTATTGGTTTCAGGACCCTCCTTGGACACCAAGATCTAAAGATGCTCAGTTTCCTTATATAAAATGGCATAGTACTTGCATGTAACCTACACATATTCTCCTGTATACTTTTATTTTTTTTTTTTTTTGAGAATTTTAATATTTATTCTTTTTTAGTTTTCAGCGGACACAACATCTTTGTTTGTATGTAGTGCTGAGGATCGAACTCGGGCCACACTCATGCCAGGCGAGCACACCACTGCTTGAGCCACATCCCCAGCCCCCATCCTCAGCCCTTTTTAAATTTTTTTTTGAGACAGGGTCTTACTAAGTTGCTGGGGCTGGCTTTGAACTCACAATCCTCCTGCCTCAGCCTCCTGAGCTGCTAGGATTACAGGTGTACACCACTGCACCAGTCTTGGGCAGTTTTTGCCACTGTGTGGGAGAAGGCTGTGGGGACATGCTGCCTTGGGTACCCCTGGCAGGCAGTGCTAGGAGGCAGCTCCTGTTTGGGGGTGCTGTGCTTGTTCCTTCTAGAGCTGCCCTGCATAAAGGCATTCTGAAGCCTAGTGCTGTCTGGGCCCAGGCAGGAACTCAGGTTGGGGAGATGTGAAAGGGTGAGGCAATGGCAGCCCTAAACTTCCCCACTTTTAAAGGAGGGCCCTCCTGGACCCAGGAGAGCACCCTGGTTGCAGTGAAACCAGATGGGGTACAGCGCCGGCTCATCAGAACTGTGATCCAGCGCTTTGAGAGGCGGGGCTTCAAGCTGGTTGGCATGAAGATGCTGCAGGTATCAGACCCCTTGTAGTGTTTGAGGTACTGGGGGTGCTTCTTGGCCATTCACAGCTCAGTCCAGTGTCATGGGGGTTTTGTGGCTTGGTATTTGCAGGTGTGGGGAGGTATCTGTCTGGGATGACAGCCTATGTAGGTATTAACTGCAATGTGCCCTGAGGTCAGGACACCAGTTTGGGGGGGGGGGCTCATCTTTAGGGACTCCTCTTACTCTTCTCCCATGTTACCCAGACACCTGACAGCATCCTTGCTGAGCATTACCAGGACCTACAGAGGAAGCCCTTTTACCCAGCCCTTATCAGCTACATGAGCTCTGGGCCCGTGGTGGCAATGGTACGACAGGACCAGGGTGGAGGATGTGCAATGTGGGTGTGTCCTCCACCAAGCACAGGGAAAGGATTGAGCCCTGGGCTTTTGGTGCTCCTCACTTCTCCCCAACTTGTAGCTCTGTACTGCAGGTCTGGGAAGAGTACAATGTGGTCCGCACCTCAAGGGCCATGATAGGACACAGTGACTCCACTGAGGCTGCCCCTGGGACCATCCGGGGGGACTTCAGCATCCACATCAGCAGGTACTGGGAGCCTGATACACTGGGTTGCCTGCTGTGGGGTGAGGAGGGCCATTCCAGCAACAGCATGCTTTGAAGGCAGATCCCAAGGCTTGGGTTTCTTGCTGGGTGGCAGGTGAAGCTGTGGGAGACCAACCTTGCACGTAACTGGGTCACACTCCCCGGCTGGGTGCTGAAGCGGCTGGGTGCTGAGGCGCTCAGTCACAGAAATGTGACAGAGCTTTCCCCACCCTTGGTGGGGGGTGAAGCCAAAGAGGCTTGACAGTGGGACATCATGAATAATACTGACTAGAACAACTTCTTTCCCTGCCCTTCCATGCACTTATTGATGATGACACATTCTCATTGTTTGTTGTTTTGACTGTACTCTGTGTTGTGTGTTATCTGTCCTGCCAGATACCCTGAAGGGCTGGTGTGGGACACTGGTGGGGAAAGGAGGCTCCCAAAAATCAGGGTTTGGGCTGGCCCCAGAGGCTGGGCTGGCAGTTTTCTGGCTCCTAGTTTTCCTTTTCCTTCTGCAGTCACCTGCTTGCTCCTGTGGGTGCAGGGGAGCAGCAGATTGACCCTAGGGCCCTTGGGTGCACACTGGAGACTAAGCTACTTGTCACCTGGCACAGGAACATCATCCACGCCAGTGACTCAGTGGAAGGGGCCCAGAGAGAGATCCAGCTGTGGTTCCAGAGCAGCGAGCTGGTGAACTGGGCAGATGGGGGCCACTACAGCAGCAGCTATCCAGCTTGAGGGCTTGTGCTGCCCTCAGTGCCCCAGCAACCACCCAGGACAACTGCTTTGGTCAACAACTCAAGCCACACCCATCCTGTCTCCCCCAAGCCACTTTCTTGCTCACTTTCTGCTCCACCACAGCCCAAGGGAGTGCCTTTATTTACTCTATGTGCCTTTCTGTATCCTAAGTCAGCACAAGATTGGACCAAATCCTTCTGTACCAAAGTGCCAGACAACCTTTGGGCATCCTCAGAGGTCACCTTAACTGCTCCAAAGGAGACACATTAAAATCCACTGCTTATAATGGGGGTGGTGTGCTCATTTTGTCTTCTGCCATTTCTGAGACAGTAAAGATGCTTTTATGAAGTAGTAAACAGAATAAAATTGAAGCTTCCTGCCTTGCACACACAGAAGGTGCTCCCTGACTTTGATGACTGTATGAATCAGGCTGAAATCTGGGCAAATTCTAGCGGAACTCTGCCTAGCCAGTCTGATTCTGCTGAAGGAGAGTGGCAGGAAGGGAGAGGTAGGGACTAGGACCACACAAGGCACAATGAGCCTGTGACCATGGTTCCCCCCACTTAGTGGCCTGATTTCATTCAACACCAAGAGCTGCCTAGCAGTAGGGTTTTTTTTTTTTTTTTCTGGCACTGGCAATTGCACCTAAGGGCTTCATGCATGCTAAACAAGTGCTCAACCACTGAGCTACATTCCAGACTTTTAAAAAAATTCTAGAGACAGTCTCCCTTAAATTTGCAGAGGTTGGCCTCGGACTTGCCATCCTTCTGCCTCTGCCTCCTGAGCTGCTGGGATTAAAAGCCAGCGCCACCGAGCCCACCTGGCATCCGCACATCTTCACGTTGCCACAAGCTGCTCATATCCATGGGTCTTGAGGTTGCTTCTCTATAGCCCAGGTTACAGGGAGGCCGACCTGGCTGTCACTTCCCCACTTGACACGGAGCGACGGAGGTCTAGGGTCTGGGTTCTGAACGGCTACAGATGGCATGGGCGAAGTGCTGAGACGCTCTCCACCCGGCACAGGGGCAGTCCTGCGAGCGCGCCCCGGCCTTTTCGGTCCCAGTTTCCCGAGGTCATCCACCACCGGGAAAGCGTGTCCGCGAAGCGGGTATGTCCGCACGCCGAGCGCCCCACGAACTGGCCTTAGTCCAGTAGTCTGAGTGTCGGTGGAGAACGGTCGCCTACTAGCACCGGAGGGAAGGACCTCCTGTATACTTTTTTTTTTTTCCTTTTTTTTTTTTTTAAGTTTCAACCCTTGTATGTCTACTTCTCTAGTTTATTTATTTATTTATGTATTTATTTATTTTTAGAGAGAGAGAGAGAGAATTTTTTTTTTTAATATTTATTTTTTAGTTCTCGGTGGACACATCTTTCTTTGTTTGTGGTGCTGAGGATCGAACCCGGGCTGCACGCATGCCAGACGAGCGCGCTACCGCTTGAGCCACATCCCCAGCTCCCCCCCCCCCCTTTTTTTAAAAATATTTTTTAAAAAATTGTTGATAGATCTTTATTTTTATTTATTTATTTATATGTGGTGCTGAGAATCGAACCCAGTGCCTCACACATGCTAGGCAAGTGCAATACCGCTGAGCCTCAGCCCCAGCCCCTTTGTTTTCCTTTTTAATACAAGTTCTGACTATGTTACCCAGACTCCTCTCAAACTCCTGTGTCCAAGTAATCTTCTTGCTTCAGCCACAGCCATATCCATCTCTTATACTTTAAATCATCTCTAGATTACTTATAGTACCTAAGATAATATAAATGCTAGGCAAATAGTTGTATTATTTTGGAAATAATAACAAGAAATGCAAGTCTGTATATGTTCAGTACAGACACCATTCCCCTCCCAAATTTTCCATCCACAGTTGGTTGAATCTGTGGATGTGGAACCCACTGATACAGAGGGCTGAATATACAAAGGACATTTCTGTGTATCTATTTATCAATCTATAATATGTACATCATATATTCATATGTATATATACACCATATATGTATATTTATATATGTGTGTGTGTGTATATGTGTTTTTTCCCCCTAAAAACAGCCAAGATCTTTAGTAACAAAGTTCAACAAAGGTGATAAGGAGTACGAATCCTTGACTTATTCCTAATCTTAGAAGGAAAGTGTTTGATCTTTCACCACTAAGTGAGATATTAGCCATCGACATTTATCCTAGATGACTTTTCAGCAGGTTGAGAGAGTTTCTTTTTAGCTCTAGTTTATTAAGAGTTTGTTTCACATAAATACATGATATATGTGAATGACATATGCTTTTTCTCTATTGATATGATCACAATATTTTTATTTATCATTCTGTTAATGTGATAAATTATATTGATTAAATGTTGAATATGAAACCATCTAGCATTCCTGGGATGAATCCCACTTGGCCATAATGAATTTTTGCATGTATTGCTAAATTCAATATGCTCATATTTTGTTAAGGACTTTTTCATCTATTTTTGAGGAATATTGGTCATTTTCTTTGCTTGTAATGTTTCTTTGCTTGTAATTGTCTGGTTTTGAAACCAAGGTGATAATTTGGGAAAATATTTCTTTCTCATCTATTTTCTGAGATAATTATTGTAAAGATTGGCACTAACTCTTCCCTAAATATTCTATAACATTAATCAATGAAACAATCTGGGCCTGGAGTTTTTTTATGAGGTAGTTTTTTGTTTGTTTTGTTTTATTATTTGTTTTTGAAGTACCAGGAATTTAACCCAGAGCCTCATTGTTTTAGTCAGCTTTTTCACTGCTGTGACTTAAGGACCCAACCAGAACAACTATAAAGGAGGAAAAGTTTATTTGAGGCTCACGGTTTCAGAGGTCTTAGTCCATAGAAGGCTGGTTCCTTTCCTCAGACCTCAAGGTGAGGCTGAACATCATGGCGGGAGAGTGTGGCAGAGGGAAGCATCTCACATCATGATCAGAGAGAAAGAGATTTGCACTTACCAGAGACAAATATATACCCCATAGCCACGCCCCAATTCCCACCTCCTCCAGCCACACCCTACCACTTCAATTACCATTCAGTTAATCCCTATCAGGGGATTAAATCACTGATTGGGTTAAGACTCTTACAACCCAATCATTTCTCTTCTGAACCTTCTTACATTTTCTCGTAAGTGAGCTTTTGGGGGACACTTCACATCCAAACCATAACACTCATGCATACTAGGCAAAAGCTCTACACTGAGTTATTATTATCTCTAGCCCTTCTTACTTTGAGACAGAGTCTTACTAAGTTGTACAGGCTGTCCTTGAATTTGAAATCTCAAGTAGCTAAGATTATAGTATTTGTTACCACACCCAATTTATGAGGTTTTTAAAAAATTTTTTAGTTGTAGATGGACACAATACCTTTATTTTAGTTATTAATTTTTATATGGTGCTGAGACTCAGTACATCACACATGCTAGTCAAGTGCTCTACCACTGAGCCACATCCCCAGCCCCAGTTTATGAGATATTTTTAATGAAGAATTTATAAACATTTTAATAGAGGGCTACTCATATTTTCTACTTCTTATTAAGAAATCTGTCTATTTCATCTAAATTGTCAAATTTATTTGTAATATTGCCTTATTATCATTTGTGAGTATATGAGTATATGTGCGTGTACACATGCAAGCTTGAGGATTAAACCCAGAGCCTCATGCATGGGAGGCAAGCACCCTACCATTGAGATACACTCCAGTGCTTTTATTATTCTTTTAATGCCTATAACTTTAGTAGCAGTGTTTCTTCTTTCGTTCCTGATACAAGTAATTTTATTTTTTTCAAATAACAAACATTTTATTTTATTAATCATGATTTTTTTCTACTTAATTGTTATCCACTTTTACATTTATTATTTATATCTTATTTATGTTGGTCTTAATTTGTTCTTTTTTTTTTGGTTTAAGGAAATTGCTGGGGTCATGGATTATAAATCTTTCTTTTTAAAAAAATATTTATTTTTTAGTTTTAGGTGGACACAATATCTTTATTTTATTTTTATGTGGTGCTGAGAATCGAACCCAGTGCCTCACGCATGCTAGGCGAGCGTGCTACCACTTGAGCCACATCCCCAGCCCCAAAAATCTTTCTTTTGAAGAGATGTATTCACTGTTTGGGGCTTTTTTGTTTTCATTTTTGAGAGGGAGTCTTGCTGTATTGCCCAGCCTGCTCTCCAACTTGTGGGCTCAATTGATCCTTCTGCCTTAGCCTCCAGAGTCATTGGGTTTATAGGTGGGCATCACCATATCCAGCATCATTCTTATAATGTTAAACATGTGCTAACTTTATGACCTAGACATTTCAGTCCGAGATGACCAAGAGAAATTAAAACATTTGTTGCAGTTTCATTGCTAATAGCCCATAACAATCCAAGTCAAATATTCACCTATAGGTGAATGGATAAGCAAAATTGGCACATATGTTCAATGGAATACTATTTATTAAAAAGAAGAAGAGAAAAAGATAAATCAGGTACATCACAAAAACTGAGTGAAAGAAATCAGACTCAATAGAGTATATACTGTATGAAACCCTTTATATAAGATGTTCCGGAAAAATGCAAATTCATCCTTAGTGGCAGAAAGCTGATCAGTCCTCACCTAGAACAAAGAAGTGGAAGAAGTGAAAGACCAAGAGGGCATGAAGAAATTTGGGGGAAAGGGGATGAAAAATTTCTATATCTTGGGGCTGGAGTGGTGGCTCAGTGGTGGAGCATTTGCCTGGCATGTGTGGGGCATTGGGTTCAATTCTCAACACCACATATAAATAAATAAAATAAAGGTCCACTGATAACTAAAAAATATATTTTTTAAAAAGTTTCTATATCTTGATCATTGGGGTGACTTCCTGAGTAGATACATTTGTCAAAAGTTATCAAATTGTGGGCTGGGATTGTGGCTCAGTGGTGTAGCGCTCACCTAGCATGTGCGAGGCCCTGGATTCAATCCTCAGCACCAGGTAAAAATAAATAAATAAAATAAAGGTATTGTGTCCAACTACAACTAAAAAAAATTTTTTTAATTGTCAAAT